GAAGCTTAGACCTTAGTAATACTGAGGTCTCCCGCGTTAGGTGAACTGTTCACGCTTTGTAGATTTCGCTGGTTAGGACATGTACTCCGCATGCCGGAAAACCGTCTGCCTCACACAGCTCTTTCTCCCAGCCCTGTGCTGAATGGAAGCGACCGATAGGTGGACAGTGTATGACCTGGCGTCGGAGTATGGAAGCACTCACCAGTAGACTTAGTCGGGTCTACAGCTGGCGCCTCGCTGGACTCAACTTACCAATGGTTAATGACACTGACAGTTGCGCAGTCAATGGCGCTCATGCATCAAAGCTATCGCCTTCCCGAACTAACCAAGCTTGCCGTTGTCTACAAGCCTTGGCTGTATGTTCCACACTTTCTCACTTCCTGGTGATCGAAACTGTATCAGCTGGAACTAATGTGCCTGTGGTACAAGGCTTATGGCTGATAGATTGAAATTGAATGTTTATCGCCCTTTTCAATGTTCATCAAGTATTCTCTAAAAGTTCTGGTTAAACATTCACTCATTATGCTTTCTGTGCTGATAACTCTCTGAGTTGTCGTAATTATTCTAGGGAGTTGTGTTTCCGTCCCAGGAAAGTCCCTACCGACATATTGTCAAAACAGGGACTGTTTCTACAGCGTCCCTCTCCCTTCCATTGAATCTCTCTTGAGTAAATTATCGCAGATGATTCTCGTCTACCTCCTGGTCATTAGATTACTCGAGTATTTGCCTCACTGTCTTGACTGGGGTTCGCACTCCATGCTTGTATTAGAAGAAAAAAACGGGATTCCGTATGTCTTGGTAAAACCAGGAAAGGTGTTCCAAATTCGGCAATTGTGGTGTACGCAATGGGTGAATGAAGCATTCAGACTGTTCGAAACCCAACTTTGTGTTGTTATTGCGGAACGATTCTGTGTCAATTTTCCAAGCACACAATAGTTAGCGGAATCTAACGCAGTCCTTTCCCCGGCTGTTGCGCGAAACTGTTCACACACACACACACACACACACACACACACACACACAGCTCACGAGAGTGGAGCAGCATGCGTATGTGCGATCATTTCTGTGCGTAGTGTTTGCGTAAACGAAGGTTGACAACTTTGGCAAGTGCATGAGTGCGTGTGTGTGTGTGGCTATTGTGCGTCTTGCACAGACTGAGGAGTTATTGCAGCTGTCCGGTGCACAATAACCAGCCACAATTCGCGACAGTTGTACCACGGCACTCTATCCGAATGAGCCGCCGTCTTTCATTACCATGCCCTGCAACCGGCCGTTCGCATTGTATTCAAACGACACGCTGTTCTGTCTAGCATCGACAGAACAAAAAGTAATAACTAGGTTCATTCCATGTGCATCGTTTACCGTTTTTGAGAAGGCAGCGCCTGTAACCCCGGTGTGCTCCCTAATCCCTGCAGGTGTCATCTGCAAGTCGTTAAATACTGAGCTGAGTGAAGCTGCATGCACCATGAGCTGGTTTTAATGTCTCCAAACGCTGTGGGTGTCCTCTTGAAGAAAAAAGCTGTGCGTAGTTCCCTTCCGGGGACTGGGGCTGCGCGTGGACTCTGGGAAAGTCGTTTCTATTCCGAGAGGAGAATTACTGTACCTCAAAATGAGGAAATCTCTCAGTGTGTTCATCATCCAAGTGTGGAACGTAGTGTCTTCATGCTAACTATGAATCGATCCATGTAACGGGTCACCATTTCTGTTCTGACGAGTAGTAAAAGTGAAGGGCTTCAGGAAGAATTCTCCAGAGCATTTCAAAAAAGCTTCACCATGAATGAAACTACTCACAACGTTGATGAAAAATCTTCGGCGGCCCAAGACCAGTTTCGCTCTTCTTGAAGCTTATCAGATAGGCGCAGTTATCGAGTTTCCGTCAACCGTATGTATGTTCTACCAAACTGGTCAGATCTCGACGAATATACTCATTTGAATATCAATTTGGTTTTCACGGGAGGGGGTTCAATGGAGTCTTCCGTGAAAACCAGATGGATTTCGAAATCTTCAGCGTGCTTTCTTAGAGGTCGTCCGTGGTAAGCTGAAGGAACCATACTTGTAGTCTAGTGTAACTCAGTACACTACAAACCACCTCCAAGTGTCCCCTCAGTATTAGAACCAGCTTATTGGTGTGAAGACGAACTCAATTGACCGTTCATCTATTTGCATCTGCCCTTATGATCCGGCTTTGCCGAAAGATGGATCATCATTATCCTCTTGTCTCCGTCCTATCTTCCTTGGTTCGTTAGATCGCCTGTTAGTCAAGGTGAAACTCAGTCCCTGCCTGTTAGTTGCTCGCGTTCTTCCGGCTGCAAGCTGCCAGTCACGCTGTTCCCTGAGCCAGGTGACAAATAATCCGGGTTAATCATGATGTGTTTCGTGTGGACATTCCGTAACTGGGACTAAACAAAAAACGCGAGGTATATAGACGGCTAGGCTGAAAAACTTGCAGGCAGCTGACTGCCAAACCTATCGGGCGATGGCTAGATGGCGCATTTTCGTCTTGAAGAGACTGAACCTTACCGTGGTGTGACGGTTTGTGTACTTCCACGACCTAGTGGGCTAAACTGAGAGGTCCGTGCGACGTTCGCAGTGCCTCTCATACTAAGTTGGTCAATAGTCAAAGGTCTGACAAACACAATCTCCCGGTCCTCCAGGGTGAATGTTCGACCATGTGTGGCGACTTGTTCCGTAAAAGCGGTAATGTGTTTGCTTTTCCCGCCAAACACCGCTGCCTTGCCATCAGGCTTTTGAGCCAAATGCCTTGGTTGAGGACCCCAATCGTCCTGCTATCTATGTGTGGACGTACTGGCTGTACCTCAGCCCATGTACAGCCATGATGATTGTTCATGATGGTACGTAACGCAGTCCACTTATCGACTAAACTCGTGATCTTTAATCTTCAACCGGATTTCTTTACTCTTTGTGAAAGTGGTGGATAAAGTTCCCCTACCCCTAATCTCTTTGTTCTCGAGTGTACTTTTGCGAACATCCTCCTCACCAGTGAATCACATGTAAATGAGAGAACTTCGGTTTACGCAACGAGGGGGTGATCTCTTGTTGCACTGATCATAGTTCCTTCTGTTGTGGTCATGGCTGCTTGTGCACTTTTGAATATTTCTCTTTTTCGTTGATTGTTTCTCGTGTGTGTGTGTGTGTGTGCGTGAACAGAGGAGTTCCAACATGAGCCAGACCGCAACACAGGAGTGGATATTACTGCTTTTGTCATCTCTGTGTTTATCTTCTCACCCAACGTTTACCAATCCGGCCTGAAAGGCGCCAGCCAAAACTAACCCGGATGAACGAAAACAGTTGTTCAAATTCTCATGTGAGGCTTTTGAATTTGTTCTCCAGACTGAGTCGATTCAGCCGTTGTTTATTGACGCTGAACAGATATCGAATTAAGTGATATCTGCCCACCACTCTTCTGTCGCTTTGATCCCAACCCAAATGTAGCTGCCTCTTCATTCGCAACGTAGGCGTTTCGGTGCGTACTTTTTGAATACCTGGTCTCTCTTTTACCAATTCAAATCGGTAAACCTTGTATGTTACGAAGAGGATGGACATGGTGGGACGGTTTGTGTGCCTCTCTGACCCACTGAGCTAAATTGGGGAAGTCCGTGTCACGCTTGCAGAGTGTTTCATGCCAGCTTGGTCAGTGGTTGGAGGTCTGACCACTGATGCTATGCTGTTGTTGACGATCAATAGACTTTGTATTCCTACACAATACCCACCTATAGCTCATTGTCGAAGTCTCAAGAAGTTCACCCCATTGGTGATGACAGTCTGTACAATAAGCACAGATATGGCAACTGTGTGAAAACCAATTATCCATATGTTACACGAGACACGGGGGCGGGATGACTCAAGTGTTTAGAGCGCGAATTTACCGTGGAAGGTCCGCGGTTCGAACCCGACCTCTCCTTCTTGACTCCTCTGTCTAGGGTTGAGCAGTATCTCAGGGCAACCTGACAGTATCTCAGCCTTCGTGCTTCCTTTGGGTGGCATGGCAGCTAGGCACCGGAAGGGTGCTACAGCTTAATGACGCACGACGCTTATGTGAAACAGACTACGGAGGCTCATCTAGTTGACCAGAGACTCGTTTCTTCTACCTCAATATCTACTTTTCCGTGCTAACTACAGTCTTCAAGATTTTTCGTGTTCTGGGGTTCTCTGTCTCAATGAATCCCGCCCCAAGATTGGTTCCCCTTGTTTTATGGTGGCTGGCGAACTTTTCCCCTAGGGAACAAGAGAAGCGTTCCTCGGAACTGTTCGTGTATACGGTCGTATTCAACAGGTCACTCATACACACAGAGCTCTGTTGGCGTACACGTTTTGCGTGAGTTGTGGAGGCTCTGTATGTTTTCCTCGGGCAAGCTATCAGCCATCACAAACCGAGTACATTGTTTATGTTTATACTGTCAGCCTCCCATCGCCGTTGTTGATTACGCCTGATAAAAAATAATAATCGTTCAGCTGTCGCACCCTTTCGGTGCCTAACTGCCATGCCACCCGAAGGTTGCACGAGGGCTGGGATACTGTCAGGTTGCCCAAGCCTAGACAGATGAAGTCGAGAGTCCTAGGTCAGGTTCGAACCACGCCATCTCGCCCCGATCACGCCTAGATGTTATGCATTAGATGAATCGTGGTATCGTCCAATTTCGCCTCCATAACTGTAGTCGATATGCATGTTGAAACACTAAATCCTCGCCGCGAATTTCGTTAGTGCAACAACGAGACAACAAGACAAGTGAGGAGCGGCAAACATTGCGTTCGATTTCATCACGCGCGTGCAACAAAACAGATGCATAGATACTGCCTTAAAAACCGTAGGTATTCAGTTGGACAAATGGAAATAAACTTGACCTTTGTTTCCTTACTGTTTTAAGAAAAACATTCTTTCTGTATCAATCGGGAGCTCTTACATGATATGGCGTTTACCTCATTTTAACAACTCTGTTACTTTGTTGTAAGCTCATCTGAACAGTTTACGTCCCCTTCAGCTACTGGAAATGATCCATCATCCGTCTTACGCCGTCCAGAACATCGTGGGCATCGTGGACTGTTCCCCCGTTCGGACGTTGTAGGAGCAGCCTCCCCGCATTCACCCAATTCCGGTTGCTGTTCTCTATCCAGTGTCGCCTCGCCCACTGAAACAATGGACACGGCAGACTTTGATGAAGCAGATGACCGCAACAGGTCGGGTAGTGGAACATCTCTGGTCTCGTCACTGTCTTCCCTAACCCCAGCGGAAGTGGCGACGGCTACCAAAGTGGCTCTGATGATGGTGCACCCATTGGAAGCTCCGAAACGAGTCGCTTGTAAGGTTTGTCGCAAACGGTTTAAAAATCAATCGGCTCTTAATGGACACATGCGATTGCATGGAGGCTATGGACCTGCAGGACTGGCTGCACCCCACACCGGAACTGTACGCAGTTCCGAGGATCGTGCCGTCCCACCAGGATCTACCACCGTTCAAATAGACTCCTCAAACTCCCAGTTACGACCACCTGAGTCGCAGGTATGTGGTTTTCAGTCCTGTTCATCTTACGCCTGCTTGTCTTTTCTGTTTTTTTTTATTCAGGCAGGTGATGAGACTTGATGCACGTTTTGAAATCGATGGTTGTTCCTCACGTACTTGGGAATTCTTCATCATCCAACCATTTGGGTTTTGTTTTATACGTTTTTTGTCAAAGAAAATCGGTTAGTTGAAGTCATTCTCGGAAATATAGCTCTAATAGCTTCCTCTGACGGCTTCGTTGTTCGAGCTCGGCGTGTCAACCTCTACTGACCACTGTCTGACATTGTAGTCGAATTAGATGCAACGCCCCATGTCGACTTCATAGCCCCTTCTCCGCATTACTGGTCATTGGTGAAGTGTACCAATTTTCTGAGAATAAAAAAAAGTAATCTGCGAAAATCACGTCACAGACAATCGCGTCAGTAACGCGGACTTTGTTCCCGTTCTGGAGACGTGGACCTACCTATTGGTCGCCTGGTCACACTCATCTAGGTAGTTTATCTCAAAACTCCCTGGATCCATCCTTCATTGCATCGCTTGTAACCTGCTCACCAGTCCGACAAATACGGATATGGGCATTTGTATGTCTCTAAGCTCCTGACTAGACATTATCCTGCATTGGAACAGCAACGATCATCACATTTGTTACGGTCACTGTTGATGAGTTGCTCAAGTGGTTAGGGCGCGAATTTACTGGCCGGAAGGTCTGTGATTCGAACCCGACCTATGCCTCTCGACTTCCCTGTCTAGGCTTAGGCAACCTGGCAGTATCCTAGCCCTCGTGCTTCCTTCGGGTTGCATGGCAGCTAGGCACCGGAAGGTGTTGCAGCTGAGATATTTTTATATATCTTATTTATGGATTAGTTGCATCGTCTTTTAGCGAAATACGCTCATCTACGTACCAATTTGGTTCACCTGTAATACAAACGGGGGACAAAGCCCGTCGTGGGCTGTCGAAGAGTTTTCAGCAACCTTATGAGTAGTGTATCACATCTGCATCATCCTTCGTTTGTATTCGCTCGCATGGACTTTATAGCACCTTGGTCATTTCACCGCCAACATTATTATTCAACCACGCCACTACCACCACCGCCGCCTAACCAGGCTAACGAACAGCCCGATTAGATTGATTATGCATCCACTCCACTCTCTCTCTCTCTCTCCTCTTACATTCAGTTCATGCCTGGGCGTGTGTACACATTATTTTTCGCTTAGCTCGCGTTTTTCAATCGATTATCCATATGCGTATTGTTTTCTTCACGACAAGTCTTTCAAATAAATCGGAGATATACGACAGCAAAGCATCACTGCTGAACACTGATCTGGTGTTGTCCATGATGATGATGATGATGATGATGATGATGATGGTGAGGAGAGTACAGGAAAAAGGAATAAACAAATGGATAGGTGGAGATGGAAGGGACTTAGTGCTAGCTTAGTACAATCATTCTGAGGTGCATATACCTCCAGACAGTCATTCAGGAGATCTCGACAGAAACTGACCACAAGAATGTCATGAAGATCGATTAGCACCGTCTCCAGCCGGACGCAGTGGGGATCACGCGGTCCCCATCCCGGAAGGCAAGTTGCACCAACAGCACCCAAACATTTCGTAATCTGTCAGGTCAAGATGGATCTGTGGATCGTGGCTATTCAGACGGGTGCAATCCGTTTGTGATTTATCGTTTTAGTGCATACAACCCTGCGTCCCGTGGTTTGTGGTAGTTGGTCTGACCACAGTAGACCTTGATTGCACGGTGTCCCAGTATGGCGGAAACTAGTCAGCAGCAAGTTGTGTCTGACAACGAGTGAAGTTCACATGAATGTCCTCGCATTTCATCCCTTGACTTTGTGCTGATATGTAGTCAGACAGTCACTTGAAGGGAAGAACTCTGCCGTTTTTTGAGTACTTGTTGCATTGATCAGTAAACCCGTCTCACACTTATCTCCGCGGGATTTCTGATACGCGTCATGCATGTCCAACATTCCAAATTCATACTTCAAAATTATTGCAGTAGATGTTAGCAATAGCGCAAATCTGAACCGCATCGTCCGTAGTGCGTACAATGCTCGAATTATCGTTCAGCTGTAGCGCCCTTTCGGTGCCTAGCTGCCATGCCACCCGAACGAAGCACGAGAGCAGGGGTAATGCCCAAGCGTAGACTGGAGGCCGGGTTCGAACCACGGACCTTCTGTTCAGTAAATTCACGCTCTAACCACTGATCCATCTCGCCCCCTCGAAGAATGGATTCATAGATCTAAACAATTAGTGTCAGCTAATCTGTGCTATGTAGGATACTATTCTAGCTTTGAGTAGTGAAATTATCGAATGAGAGGGATCCTGGTTTTCACGGAACATTCTCATGTACTCTCAAGGGGAGCAGTTTTTTTCGGAGTGACCTTTCGTGAAGGTATCACTGCGAACTACATAAGTAACTATCACTTCTTTGCCAATCCTGGCTTTACCGATGACGTAAACTTCTGCGGATCAATAAAGCGTGAAGGGGGCGAGATGGCCCAAGTGGTTAGAGCGCGAATTTACTGACCCGAAGGTCCGTGGTTCGAACCCGACCTCCGCCACTCGACTTCCCCTGTCTAGGCTTGGGCAACCTGACAGCCCTCGTGCTTCCTTCGGGTGGCATGGCAGCTAGGCACC